TGGCATGGTTTATATAATAGTGATATGTGGGCCTACTGACTGAGTGTTTTAGGGCAGGTTGATACTGTTTTTTGTGTTGGTGTGTTGATAATGCCAATGTGGACAATGAATGATCCCTGACGTCCTTTTCGATGGGGTAGTTTGATTTTGTTGTGAGTGGGGATGTAGTGCAAAGCATCGTGGTGTTTCGCGCGCTGGGAACGAGCGTTGCAGGGGAAACTCGATGATTGAAAGGAAATGTAATCATGAAGATTTATTAAGTTCATAATGGGCCTGGTTAAATGTGCATCTATCTTACATGCCTTCTTTCCTGAAGGGTATCTGTTTAAATCGAACCACGAGTATACATGAATACACACTGGCGGTACAAGAATATTCTTGTCATTTTCTTCGGGTGATTTGAACTAGCCATCTTTACGACTCCATGTACACGCCCAATCCGGATTTTAATTCCGTCAGTTGTATACTCGAGGATCACTCGACTCGAGCTTCGCTCTCATTTGAGTCATGGGTACCGCATATCCACCGCCCGGGTTGGGCTTTGAATCCAAGACTCAAGACATGGAAGGTGTTTCTAATACCAACCGAACAGGTCATACCGGGATTGAGCAGAGTTGCGCAACTGATTCATATTCGTACTGACGTTGTTTTCATAGATAGGTACTCATTTCATTGTGGCCGGGTTGAAATCAAAGAAGCTAGGTTGTACAGTCGAGAGCCTCTCATGAAGTCCGGACTACAGTTGTAAGGTTTGGTGTATTTTCTCAATAGTTTTTAATTATCATTTAAACCCTAATATTTTCAGTTACCCAGATTGTGTAAAGTTTTGAGATGGTGTTTTAACGAAAATCGTTCGATTAAAGCAGACGCACTAATTAATCACTCTACGCGCTTTTACTTAGCGTATCTCGTGGCCTTTGAATCGGACCACGAGTCGGGCTTTATTGCAATACATGGAGTAGTCACGAAAAGCCTTAACAGGTTAGCCAGACATAGTGTTAGCCAAATTAGCATGGTGGTGGTGGTGGGGTTCATGCGTAGGGGCTGAGAGTATGTCAGTGACATCTTAACCCGCCAAATGGTTTGGTAGATTGTAGTGAATTCATTATCCTGCTCACTGGCTAGAGAGTGTGGCGGTAGCTTCGAATGTGACGTTTTCCATGACAAAAAAACTGTTTTTCAGGGTTTTTGAAAGGACATTTCATAAACTGATTCCAGAGCTACAGCTTGTTTTTTGATACCAGATTGACTTCCGCGATGAGGACGAATTCTGTCGGTGTATTGGAAACAAATGAGACAGACCGGCATTCTCAAATCTTCGATGTCAGTCGCAGTTTGCTGGTCTGTGTAATCTGCATTTATGTTTTGTATCAAAAACACTTCACCTTACACCAGCGAAATACGTTCGATCAGAATGAAGTTCACATGCGTTCAACCAATTAAAAAGTGTCAATATCGATCCGCCCCTGCCTTTCAGAGTCACGCAGAAAAAACAACAACAATACACATCGATCTTGTAAACGGCTAAACTCGTCCTGTATCGAT